CCAGTTATTATATCAGTTACACTTGTGATCTCATTAAAAAATGCTATCAAATTTAGTTGGTAAGACCCATTTTGTACAAAGCCATGAAAATCAGCATTAATTATGGTAACAGTCTTTAAATATTTACTGCTTATGTTCCATATCATCCTTTCCATGATTCTGTCCAGGATCAATAATAACTAACCTATATAATGACTTGAATCATCCCATTAATCATTTTTCAGTGTTGATACATGAGGTTTTTTTCTCTAGTCCTCTGGAACTACTGGAAGTGCTCCCAAACTCCCAAGCATTTAAAAAAATCAGTGCTAATGGTAAAGAGAACTCCTTAACCATTCCCTTTAATACTCCTGAGTGAAAGATATCCCAACTACTATATAAAAAAGGTTTTAACTTTAACAGATACTGTTTAGCATATTCCCTCATAAATGGGGGAATAGAAAGTATTCCCTTATCACTTTTTCCTACTTGTTTCTCAACACAGGATAGAAACATGTTAAATCCTACCTCAGAATCTATATCACAGTCAATAATTTTACCAAGTACTGGTTCTGTAACTTTGCCAGAATTTCTCCCAGATAGTCAGCAGAAAGAATAAAAAGCAGCTAAATCGTTTTTAGGCAGAGCTACCACACAAAGCTTAGAAGTACAAACACTGAGGTACATGAGAAAATCTAATGAGAGATTAGCTGGGAGTCAATGTTGTTCCTATGTACTGAACACATGCTGCCTTGTCTCCTTCCTTTGATTTCTGGGCAAGTATTAGGGGTGACATTCGCTAAGGAGACTAGGTACCAGTAGCTAGCTTTTTGAGAAAATTATCCTGGCACATGTCCACGAAGGGCCAGCAGGGGAGACTATGCTTAGGGGCAACCAACACGGGTTCATTAGAGGCAGGTCCTGTCAGACCAACTTGGTGGCCTTCTATGACCAGGTCACCAAAATCCCTGGATGCAGGTGCTGTGGTGGATATAGTCCTTCTGGACTTTAGGAAGGCCTTTGACATGGTCTCTCACCCCATTCTCATTAAAAAACTAGGAGACCGTGGTGTCGATACCTACACAGTCAAATGGGTCACTAACTGGCTGGAGGGCTGCACCCAGAGAGTGGTGGGGGACGGGTCTTATTCGACCTGGAGGGATGTGGGCAGTGGGGTTCCCCAGGGCTCGGTCCTCGGGCCCGCACTGTTCAACATCTTCCTCCGCGACTTGGACGAGGGGGTAAAAAGCACCCTGTTCAAATTCGCAGACCACACTAAAATGTGGGGGGAAGTGGGCACGCTAGAAGGAAGGAATAGGCTGCAATCAGATCTGGACAGGTTACAGGGGTGGGCGGATAAGAATAGGATGGGTTTCAACACTGACAAGTGAAAGGTACTGCACCTAGGGAGGAAGAACCAGCAGCATACCTACAGGCTGGGGAGCTCCCTTCTCGTCAGTGCAGAGGCAGAAAAGGATCTTGGAGTCACTATTGAGGCCAATATGAACATGGGCCAACAGTGTGGGGACACGGTCAGGAAAGCCAAACATAAATTGTCATGCATCCACAGATGCATCACAAGCAGGGCCAAGGAGGTGATCCTCCCCCTCTATGCAACACTGGTCAGGCCACAGTTGGAGTACTACATCCAGTTCTGGGCACCGCACATCAGGAGGGATGTGGACAGCATGAAGAGGGTCCAGAGGAGGGCCACTTGCATGATCAGGGGGCAGCAGGGCAGGCCCTACGAGGAGAGGCTAAGGGACCTGAACCTGTTCAGCCTCCACAAGAGATGGCTGAGTGGGGATCTAGTGACCATTTGCAAACTAGTCAGGGGGGACCAGAAGGCATTGGGGGATTCCCTGTTCCTTCGAGCACTACCAGGAGTGACAAGAAATAACGGTCACAAGCTGGCAGAGAGTAGGTTCAGGCTAGGTATCAGGAGGTGCTACTTCACAGTCAGGGCGGCTAGGATCTGGAACCAACTTCCAAGGGAAGTGGTGCTGGCTCCTAACCTGGGGGTCTTTAAAAGAAGGCTGAATGAACACCTGGCCGGGGTCATTTGACCGCAGTACTCTTTCCTGCCACAGCAGGGGGTCGGACTTGACGATCCGCTCAGGTCCCTTCCAACCCTACCAACTATAAAACTATGAAACTACTCTAAAACTACAGACAGAAAGCTTAAGCCTTTTACAGTTTAGTGGCAGGGTTTCCCAATGCAGTAGAATTTTCATTTCACTGTTCTATGCTAACGTGCCTTATGAGAACAGCTTAAAAAATTTCATGCTGCTAATAACAATGTTAACACACCCAAACATCCAGAAGAACATTCTCCAGAATATATTAATTATGGGAAGGTTAGATTACTGTGAGCAAAACATCATTTGTCATTGCATCAAGCTTCTCCTGCTGATAGAAGCTAGAGATCATAAATACTGTTGTTTTCACTCTAATGTAAATCCTCAGTTAATTATCCCTCATGTCCAAAAATTTTAGCTCACGAAAGAAGAAATTCAGAGACAAGTTAACTTGTCTCACTCCATTCTTTCCGCTGCACCCTCGTTCTGTCTACTTTCCCTGGGGCAGCAGTGATCTTCCTTCTGCCTTAACCCCTTGTTCACAGGTATTACAAAAGCACAGGTATTACCAAAGGGTATTTGATAAAGCAATCATGAAAAACAAGGAAATGAAATGTACCTCTGTATATTGTTTTTAATCAGGAAGACACTTGTATATTGTATAAGCCAGTAATTAACCAGATTTGACAAACCAGTTATCATAGATGAGCTTCTTCATTAGCAATTATTTACCCAAGAACTAAGGTAGAGACAAGAACTAAGTCAGAAAAGATATGGGGAAAGAGGTGAGCAGCAGTAGGGGTACAACATACTGCAGGCCTCTCATCAAAGTTCTGACTTCTGAGACTTAAAAACTTTAAAATTGTAATGCCAGAATAGTTATTCTAAAAACTACACCTAATCAGTATCACAAAGAATAATCCAGCCTCATCCAATCTCCGGTGACAACAGAAATCAGACTGGACTTAGAATAGCTATGAGCTCAGAATATTGGTGATCTCTAGGAAGCATTCTCCATTTGTCACTAGAAGTGAGCCTGACTTTATACCATGCAAGACTCTGCTAAAATATTACTATCATTTAGCACAGTGTAAAGCTAGGCTTATTCCCACTGAGCAAAGGAAGAATGTTTCTCAGAGATCACCATTATTTAAGAGTGTTAACAATATGCTCTACATCCCTTCAAGAGATGGCCAGTGCATGGCAGACCGAGACATGGCTAGGCCTACTCTTTCTGTCTTTGAGGCACTGTTGGAATACCTTGCCTTCTCCCAACAACAAGAAGCAATTCTGAAGGTTTTTTGTATCGACTTTTGTCTAGGTGTGAGGAGAACTTGCTGAAGAGGTAGAGGGAAGCCCTTTTTTCATAAGACACAGCAAAGTCTAGCCCTAAATATTAAACTTCAATGTGTTCATCCTTCAAAGTTTTACCACAGAATAGAGGCTGTTCTGGGAAAAGCAGCAAACAGGCAAGCATTCACATTTTGTATCTAACCCAGTTTTAATTTCATTGAGGAAAACATCTTAAGAAGGAGTAATCTTAACATTATTTAACATGAGGCTCAATACTTCGAGAGATGGATAAAATGAAGAGACTGATGATCATAATATCAATACATTTCTGCTTAGTATCAAATCTGTTTCCAACTTCACAACCACATGTGCATATGTTCATCATTCACCTATGTTCAGTTCATTAGTATCTGTGCTTAGATTTACACAGTTGTATCTGATTCAATTTTTAAAGGAATGCTATGTCAAAAGGGTAAACCATATGTATACATTAGAGGTGCACCAATATATCGGTCCAATATCAGATCAGTACTCATATAAAGAAAATCGCCTATATCAGATATCGGCCCAATGGGGCCGCTAATTTGGCCAATAAATGCCCATGCTGCATGCGGACCAGAGCTGGCAGCATGGAGAGCTGCCTCCAGCTGGTAAGTCAGAAGGGGAGGAGGGAGGGAAGGGGCATGGGGGGGGCAGATCAACACCCCTGTGGTGAGGAAGGGGGCAGGCGTTGCCCAGCTGAGGTGGGGTGAGGGCACGGCGCAGGATGGAGGCATGGCTCATGGGGTGGGAGCAGCTCCTGCCGCTGCTTACACTCCAGGAGGGTAGGGGCAGGGGGGCATGTGCCCCCAGATGTGTGCAGTGTGGGGTGGGCTGCAGCTGCAGGGTGAAGCGGAGGCAGCACTGTGTGAGGCTTTTCTTGCTAGGGGCTAGGCTTGGAGTGGGCTCTGATGGTGCTGAGAGGGGCTGCAACCACTCCAAATTTCACCGCAGCTCCACTCTCAGCCCCACTCTACTGCCTGGTGTAGCCCTGGCTGAACACCCCACCTCCACCCAAACACTGGGAAAAGCTGGAAGCAGAGCTGCAGCAAAATTTGGGATGGCTGCAGCCTCCTCCCAGCCTGCTCCGAGCCCAGCCCTCAGCAAGAAAAGCCCCACACAGCGCTGGCTCTGGCTCTACCCCACAGCTGCAGCCCACACCGCACTGTGCAGATCCAGGGGCACACCCCACCCTGGCCCCTCCTTCTCAGGGTGCAAGCAGTGGTGGGAGCTGCCCCCACCCCACAAGTCGCACATCCGTCCCGTCTCGTCCCAAGCCCCCCCACACTGCCCCAGTGGGCAGTGCCTGCCCCTGCCCCCTCCCTCACAGTGAGGGACACTGATCTGCCCCCCCACACCCCTTCCCTTTCACCACACCAGACTTACCACCTGATGGCAGCTGTATTGGATTGGTATCGGCCAATATGCCTCCTTAAATAACAGCTATTGGTATCGGCTCCAAAATCTCTATCGGTGCACCGTATGTATGCATGCATACATGCATACCAGCCAGCCAACCAAAACTGGCCCTATTTTTTTAAGGAATATCAATTTTTTCTCATACATTTCTATGCTATTTGAAAGACATATTTGAAGTTTTGTCTTGCTTACTTTACCACAATATTTCCTAAAGTCTTGGTCTTCGCTGTTTGCTTGTTATTATCCAGAATCATCACTGCAAAAGTAACAGAGAAAGAAATCAGACTTTTCTTGTTTCAGATAAATAAGGCCAAGCTGCAACTCAATGGATGCCAAATTAAGTCATAAATCACAGTACGGAGTAGTCCTAGGCAACAAAAAAGGAAATATAAAATTGCTGGGTACCAATCTAAATAAACTCAAAACTCCTGTTAGCATCCCAGCCACAAATGCAATAATCCTTAAAATGAAAGGCTGTCCATTAGAAAGGAGAATTAAAATTAACAGAAAAAAGTGAACCACACTGTAAATCTGAACCTCTAAATAATCCTTTCAGAGCATGGCAACAACAACAACAACAAAAGTAAACAAGCAGCAATACTGTACTAAGAGATGACATATAAAGTTATTAGGGATGAATGTAGCCCCCTTACAAAATACCATGTGTGAGTAATAAAACTGTTTTGTAAGTGCATATGATCTGCCTGTAGTGTGATGAGACCTGTATAGTGAAACTGCCATCACAACAGAGAAGGTTTATTTTCTACTAAGAAAAGGTAAATTAACTTATGAATGGACTGAGGTCACACTACAGGACAGTGACAGAGCTGGGAAAAGAAACCAGAGATCCAGCCCTTGGTCCTTTCCAGTGGACTGCACAATCTCTTGTCACCTTCAGTAATGTGGTTATATTCTGATGGGGACATACTTCAATGGGCTTTTCCACAGAAAAGAGGCTGAAACTTTCTCCTGGATAAAATTGTTATCTAGGAAATCTATTACAGTCAAATCCATTCTACCAGGTGGACTGGCAATAAAGAGAGAAGAGTGGTTAACTTACAGCATTTTTACTTGTTCCAATTACTGAGTCATGCCCTACAATGCCTAGGGGTCATATCGACAGGAATAGCTGATTCCTGGGAACAGCAAGGAGAATGGAGAGTACTACATTAAGTCTTGACAGACAGGACAGATATTAGCTTAATTAATAGGCTTTCTGAGGGTGGCCAAAGGAGAAGAAGCAACATCAAGCTGCAACCAAGTTGCTGCAAGACCCTTTTTTAGAGGAAAAAAAAGTTCCTGGAAGAAGTATGGAGAGAAGGGAGACACACATCTTCCAAAAGATTTTTGAAGTAACGTTGTGCCTACCAGGGTACCCAGGGCTCCTGCAATCTGCTATTTCCTAGCTGAAACATTCCTTCTTTAACAGCTGGACAGATCATTCCAGACAGTGGTTCTGATCTTAGCATATAAATAGATAAAGCCAATCCAAGATTTACAATGCCGCCAGGTAGCTTTTATTATTTCATGAATCTGAAGGCTTAACTAGACATAGAAAATCCAAGAATTGTTCTGGAGAGGGTGAATGGGAACTCAGAGGTAATTCTGTCCAATCTTTTTGAGACACAGCCTCACTGGAATGTTAATGAGAGCCTTGAATTCACATGGGAAATTACTAAAATTCTACAGAAGCCATCTGTTGCTTATACCTGCTTATAACGTAAGAAAACACAAGGTCCAGAAGTGGGCAATAAAGATGATAAAGGGCTTGGAAAGCAAGTCATATGAGAAGAGGCTGAAGGGGTTAGGCATGTTCAGCTTGCAGAAAAGGCGCTTAAGAGAAGACATGATAACAGTCTTCAAATACAACATAACCTCGTAAATCCAGCATGCTCGAGACCACGCACCTGCCGGAAATTTGAAAAATTTTAAAGTGGGGTGGTAGATGGCGGCGGCTGCCGCCATGTGCAAGCTTCCCCCTCCACGTCCAGGGGGTGGGGAGGAGAGCTGGCTGGTCCCGGAGCAGTGGCTGCATGCGGAGCAGCAGTGCGGGGTGGTGGATGGCGGCGGTAGCCACCATGTGCAAACTTTCCCTTCCGCATCCGGCGGAGCGGAAGGGGATGCTTAAAAAGTGCCGTATTTTTGAGAATTCCTGATTTTTGAGATCCAGATTTATGAGGTTATACTGTATCTGAACAGCTGCCATAAAGAAGGAAAACACTTTTTCTCTCTTGCTGCAGAGAGGAGAATGCAGACCAATAGCTTGAAGTTGTAGCAAAATAAGTTTAGATTGGATATCTGGAAAAAAAATTCACTGTTAGAATAGGGAGGGAGTGGAACACACTGCCTAGGGGAGTTGTGGACTCTTCATCACTGGAGGTATTCAAAAAGATGCTGGACAGTCACTGGTCAGAGATGATCTAGGCGTAGCTAGCCCTATGTTCTACCATGGGTATTCCCTGTACTTCTGGGCTTTGCTGATTGCCACTGCCCCCACTTTTTGCTATATGTGATAGGATGTTTTTAAGCCGCCCTCATAGCCTTCCAGTGTTGGCTACAGACAAGACAGGGGCTTTGACTCGGGTGTGCCAATGCTCCTTCTGGGAGCAAAGCCAAAAATTTCTGGCCAGAGGATCTTGCCCCTCCACTCAGAGTCAAACTAATTGCCATATCTGGTGTCAGGAGGCAATTTTACTCCATGGCCAGATTGGTACCAATGGCTAGGGGATGATATTTAGGAATTTGCTTTTAGAAATTGGCTTGTAGGAAGAGTAAATATTGCATCAGTAAATATAGGAATAGGAACATAAGTAAATGTAGGAAGAGTAAATATTCCATCATTGCAACAATGGTCCAAGGGAACAGCAAGGGTTAATTGGCTTTTAAAGTCCACTTGTGGCAACAGTCCTGGGGAAAAAGCAAAGAGATTCACGTTCTCAGCATCTGTGATCCAAGGGTCCAAGATTAGCATACAGACAGGCGCATACATCCTAGGAAATTGGAAATATGAAGCAATAAAACAACCAATGTTCCCTCGAGACCCCAAACAAGATAGGACCATGCAGAATCAGCATCAGGTCAAAATGACCAGCTGTAACCTGGCAAAAGGCCCCTGGGATCCCCGGTCTTGGGGGATTGACCAAATCAGGAGACAGGGAATGACCAAATTAAGGTACCGACAAATGACCAAATTAAGATGTGTGCACATGATGTGTTTGAAAATCAGGATTATTCTAACAGGACAGAATGTGAATGGCATGATGGCCACAGGGAAACCAAGCACTAGTACTGGGTATGAAAAGTCATCAGGAGAAAGAATACAAAAGGAAGGATCACTGGGCAATGATTTGACATTGGCCCCAACTTCCAAGGCTGCTAACATTCTCTATAGGAAACATGAGAGACTAATTCAAGCAGGAACTGTGATGTGGCATTTATGTACTGGACAGATTTACCATCTCCTTGCGAAACCCTAGGACTGATAAATAAGTAGGACTGTGTAGTCTTTTTGCACTTTGCTCGCACATGTCTTATTTGCTATCACTGTATATCAATAAAACTCTCCTATTATCGAACAGAGGTGTCATGATCAGTTTCATGAAGGAAAGTTGTGCCCTCTCCCATCAAGGTATCAGAACTGGTTCATAAAGCCAGTGCCAACAGGTACAGATGGTTGGGGGTTTTGCCTTCCTCTGCAGCCGGGGTTGTGGCCCTCCACCCGGAATCTCTTGAGCATATATTGGCAACGTTTCAAAGAAGCAGGACATTGGGGGTGCCCATAGACATCTGGGGATGCTGCTCCGATGTGCTATAATTACAGTGCACTCGATTTTTCAAGTTTGCTGGAGCATGCTAATTAGCGCACTCCAGCAGCCTCCATATCTTTTGTATTCAGCACCCCCATGCCTCAAAATGGCAGTGGGGGCACTTTAACTGAAGCTCATCAAAAAAGCTTTAGTTAAAGCACCCCCGCCACCATTTTGAAGTGTGGGAGGCTCAATACATGAGATACTGCAGGCACTTTAATTAGAGCAGCCAGTCCAATTCAAGTGCCCCCCACACTACCCCTGGAGCGTGTGTAGAGGTGCCCAGGCTGTTGTGGTTCCCCTGCTTTACCTGTGGCAGGTTAGGGTGTTAGGTCTGTGCTGTGTCAGGGTTGCAGGTAGTCTCATGTAGAGTTAAATTATGCATTTGGATACGAAGGTCTGGATAAGGATGATCTTGCCTCAGGCAGGGGGCTGGACTAGACGACCTCTGGAGGTCCCTCCCAGCCCTACTTCTCTATGATTCTATGAAATCACAGTTGGAGAATTTAGGTATACAACATAGCACCAGGGAGCTAAGCTGTGCTGCTGAAAAAAAAGGCACACACACTTGGTCCTGCTTTGCATGCAGCAACCTGGAAATGAGGCAGTAATAACACCCTGTGGGTTTCCCAAATCAGATTTATTTCCCTGAAAGTAATGTATGCACTTGTTCTAAGAATTTGAAAACAAAAGGCAAAAGTTGGTGAATAGTCCTGAATTCCAAACTAGCTTTAGGGCATGAAATTTACATAAGTCCAGGATTTGCTATGTTAGTCCTGGATCAATAGAAAACTATAACATTTAATTCATTAGTTAAAGAATCCTCTCAAATCCAAACAAACCTGGCCCACAGACCAGATCAAACCCTTGGGGTCCAAAAATCTGGTGACATGTGAGCAGTAGCAGCGTCAACTGGGGCTTGATACCAGCATGCAGAGTGCCAGGGCCCAATCATGACACGTGAATTAGTGCAGGCATGGCACAGGCTGCCATGGCCCAATGCCAGCACTCAGGGACCAAATGCAGCAAATGGGGCTGGGAAGGGGCAGTGCAGGGCCCAATTCTGGCTTGTGAGGTGAAAAGGTTGAGTCTCACTGGAATAGAAAATCTGGTTTAAGGAAATATCTGAACTAGAAATAAACAGGACACAATAGGGCATAGGTAGATGAAACAATTATACTGATACAAGCTGTTAGAACTGTTAGCTCTGTATGAGCCTGTGATTGATACAAAGCACAGCAAAACCACTTTATCTCCAAGTCAAAGCTGGGAATCATGCAGATGTAACAGATTGTAACAGCTACTGTCCCCTTTGAAGCAGGGTTTCTCTCTGCCCTTTCAAAGCAGCTAAAATTGACATCCATCTATATCCTTAGTTTTCCAGTGGTAGATGGCATTAATTTCTACCTACTCCTGGTTAAAATGCTTGAAACTAAAATTATTGCCTAGTCCTTCTGACACTTATACCAATGCAAAGCCAAAATCATTTCACATAGACTTATTTACTTTATTCTATACTTAACCTGATATAATATGAAAGATTTTGACCCCTGTCTAGGAAGCATGGGCTTTTTTCCTTTCTATTTTGACTCTACAAATCTAGTTTAAATGCATCATGATTTGAGCAATCAGTGTCCTAAGAACCATACCAGCAGGGGTGGGCAATTATTTCAGCTGGAGGGCCACTTGGGAAGTTTTGGTGAGTTATCATGGGTTGAATCAGCAGCTCCTGGCCCCCTCTCCCTGGCCAGGAGTGGAATGAGCAGCCAGGGCTGGGGCCAGGATCATGGGATGGTGAAAGCTGCAATCTGCTCCTTGCATGCCCCTGCCAATGAAACCAGCACCTGTTGCAGAAACGTGTGGGCAGCAGATCATGATTCTGCCCCAGGCCCTGGTCCCACATTGTCTCCATCCTGAGATCCCATTCCCAGCTCTGCCCTCTCATCCCACTCCTAGATGCTGCTCCCCACCTGCCCACAGCCCCATCCCATCTGCCCGGCTGAGCATGCCCTGCCCAAAGGGGTCCTGGCTCATCTCCATGGAAACTCCACCCACCCACTCTGTCCAGCACTCTTGGTGCTCAGGCAGCATCTGGTGGTGGAGACTCACACTGGCAGCTGCTGGTGATGCTGGGAAGTGAGTCTGGCTGTTGTGCCACCCCAGCCCCACTGCACGCCTGGGGGTAGAGGGACCATGCACACACATCACAGACCAGGCTGTCCCCCATACCTGGACCGGGCAGAGCCATGGGACCCACCATGGGACGGATAAAATTTCTTAGTAGGCCAGATCTGCCTTATGGGCCTTATTTTGCCAACCCCTGTGTTAGACCTAAAAGTTTTACAGCATAGAAAAGTATGGAGTCTATCTTTTAAAGTATAAAATAAATTTGTAACTAGTCATATCAGCAGCTAAAATTCACAAAACAATTGAAGTGGGGAAGAATAAGACAAAATACAGTGATTACTGTACCCCAGTTGTCTTTCCTGCCTAGTGCAGGGGGCTGGACCCAACAATCCTGTTAGGTCCCTTCCAGCCCCTTACAATCTACGAATCTATGGATCTATGATGTCAAGAACCAATATTTCAGTAATGGTGGGGTTATAGACTTTGTAAGCCTTTCTAGTAACTGGTCCTGAACTACTGTGATACCCGTTCCTTTACAGATTGTGACTGAACGTGGCATCTGTTTTATGTTGCATTTTTGAAGAAATTCCCTTTGCTTTATTTAGAAAAGGGAAGTTTTAGTTACATTAACAGCAGATTGTGCAGAATTCATTCAGAATCTCTATATTTCTGCTTCCCACTGACTTTTGCTAGGCCTGATTTCTATTGCCTCAGGAGCAGGTGTGATGCAATTATAATCATCCCTGGTTACCTGGTAATTAGAGCTCTGGTCAACCGTCAAACCTTTCCTCTACCTCCTATCTACCCCCACTTCTTACATTACTGCTTGTCTTCCTACAATAATTAATGGTGCCAAGTCTAGGGCAACAGAAAATGATTTTTTTTTTTTTAATCTTCACACTGGCATCTGTGTGTTAGAAGAAAAGCAAACTAAGCCCATTCTGCCCAAGAATGTGAGTACTTTCCCTGCAGATAGCTTGACCTTTGAAAAATCTAATTATTTTTTCAGTCTTGGACTAATTCTTAAAATCTCTGCATCAAAATCAGAGTTCCCAGGTATGAAAATATTTTAGAATTCTTCCTTGTGTGGCTTCACTCTCTGCATGCAAATACCTTTCACGCACTCTCACTTTTCATGCTGGTTCGCAGCCTACCATTTTTTACAGCTAGAAATGAAAATGCTGCACAAGTACTGAAAAATAATATGTTTAACATCTCTCTCAAACCCGAGACCTCCTAGAAGCCTGAACATAAAGGCTAACTTATTTGATAAAAAGAATTGGGATGTGAAACAAGTTCAAATTGAGGACATTTATACCCTGGCCAAGTTGCTTTTTAGTTTATCATTACATATGTGAAGAGGTCACAGAATTCACAGCAAGATTCTACTTTCTGCACGTAACCATAAGGAGATTTTTTAATACATTTTTATTCAAGAAAAAGAAAAGATCAGATAGATGTGACTCTTAAACAGATGTGCTTATAGCCCCAGAAAATAGAACCATTTATGCTCCGAAGAAAATATGTAAAGATATAACAGCTAAAATTATCTTAAGAGTGAATCATTGATAAAGCAAGTACTTTTTTGTCTAGCTATCATGTCCTCTCTCCAAATTTTAAAGATTTCTACTACTAACATCTTGCCAGCAGATGCTCTCACTGCTGGTTATCGTTTAATACCATATCATTTTAGATTAAGGCTTGAAGCACTGTTCTCATATCTTCACAATAATCCACTGGTCTCAAGCATGCAGTCTGAATAGTTCAATGCAAGCTGGAACAGCCAGTTAGTCACAGTGGGCCTGGTTCTGAATTCCTTGTGCACCTTCAGATCCCATTTCTGCATTTTTGGCACCCAAAATTAGTTTAGGATGAATGAGACTAACCATTTACAGGAAATGTATAATAATAAGGTGGGTTGTAAAGGGTCCTGTGAGGAGTTGAACAGTTCCTGTAAAAAAAAGCATCTGTAAGAAATACAGGATCAAACTTATATGTAGTAGTAGTGGTTTCAGTTTTACTTGTACTAGATCCTGGGATCAGCTTGTAAGGCCTGGCCTTCCTGTATCTGACAGTCCAACAGGATGTGTGTGTGTTTGTGTGTGTGTGTGTGTATGAGATGGTTGTTTTAAGTGAATCCTGGAGTTAATGATTCAGATGAGAGCAGCTCTGATGCAGTTCCAAGATGTGCCACTTGGTAAGAGCCATAAAAGTTCAGCATAGTTCTTCAGTATCTCCTAGGTAATCCTCTCTTTTCTCCAAGCAAGCTGGGGAGAATGCGAGAACTATTAAGATTGGTCCTAGACCAATAACTCCATTCATAAGGTGTGATCTTACAATTTCCTAAGTACTTTCTCAAGGATACAAACAAATACCTCCAGGCATACTCTATGCACACTTACCATTGTAGCCTGGCACTGGTTTTCCTGCCTGTCCTGGTGGTGGTGATGTTGAATTCCCCAAACCGATGCAGGAAGCTGTAATCGCAGATCCAGTTTCTGTTATATAAGGGAAGGAAAATATGTCAGTTAGACATACGCTTAGTGTCATTAAGTATTTATTGGTGCTAAGTTTGGTTTCTAGTTCAGCTCATCAAAAATAATTCCCAGATGAGCAATGAAAAATTTAGAATTCAGCAGATTCATGTATATTATGTAATATCTGTGATTTCATCACAGAAACTAGAGTGCACCTATGGACTGCTTTTTCCATTCACTATCAGATAATCAAAAAGAAAAGAAAGGCATCTTTAGCTTTCTGCTATAGACCTGGGGTAGTCAGAGCCCAGTAACCTATATGCCTCCAAGAAATCAACAGAAGATACAATTATGTAGCACAGTTATATTTTAAGAGTTGTCTCACAGATCAGTCAGAAAGAAAAATCATCTTCAGAAAACACATAGGTTCACTCTTCTCTTTATTACTCAAGTCTCTACTCTGCTTCTGCACATTCTTGGAAGAGCATAAATCTGTATGCAGAGTTCTACTTTTGGAATGAAAACTTGGAAACATTTATAGGTTTGTGTAACAAGGCCCTGCCCTGTTACTAGGGATTCGGGGGAGTCTGAACAGCCCCATACCCCAGAAGCACCTCTGCACACACCCCCCCCCCCCCCCCCCCCCCCCCCCCGACATGTGAGACCTCACCGGAGGCTGAGAAACCATGTCCTGGGACTCAGTGAGTCCCTCAGCAAGGGAGCTGACACAGGTGTGGGGAGTGAGAGAAGGTTAGCCACGTGAGCCCCCAGAGCGGGAAGGATAAAAGACACTGAAAGCAGCCTCAAGAGGCTGCACCTGGCCAGGGAGCAGGCTGCCAGGAGCCCGGAATTACCAGCGGTTAAGCAGCCACTGGGAGAGCCCGGAGCAGGTCTCGTCTCTGTTTGTTTGTTTGTTTGCTTATCATTTGCTTTGTTGCACAAGCGTGCAGGCTCTGCAAAGCCTGTGAAAGATAAGAGGTGACCACCAGGTGAAGCCTGGAAGAACCACTGGAAGACAGCTAAATGCTAACTTGTTTGTTTAACTTCTTTTGTTTGTTTTGCATCACTACCAAGCTTGGGTGGCCTCCAAGTATTATCTACTAGCCTGGCTGCAGCAGAGGCAAGAGCCCTGAACAGTGGGTCCTTGGCCAAAGCCAGCAGCAGAAGTAAAACTGGTCAGCTCAACTAGCATGACCAAACATACCCTACTGTGATCTGCCCAGACTGTCCATAACAGCCAACAGCTTGGAAGGCAGAAGGAAAAAAATCCGTAGAACAGGAAAAGTTTTTAAAGCAACAGTTTATTTGGAAACACAGCAGATAGCTGAATAATATCTATTTTATAACTCCTAGGAGTCTCACTATGATCAACGGGAACAATTTCATCTACTGTGTGGAAAGAAAAAAAAAGAACGGTAGAAGGACTGCACCTAAATCCCTGATTCTTTAAGAAAGAACATTCCTGGAAGATGCAGGGATGGTAAAGGAAAAGGAGTCATGCCAATAACAAACACTCAACAATTCATGAGTCAGAATCCCCCTCAAATCATAAATCTTGATAAAAATGAAATTGAAGTTATTTTTATTTGCCTTGTAACTCTTGAGTCTTGTAACAGCCAGAACCAGAGGGATTAATAAGCAATAATATGTGCTTCTTGGAGGCATTTGGTATTTTCCCTAAACAGGTAATATTGGTTAATATAAGCTTGTAAATTTGTAAACTGCAAATATAACTTATCTGTCATAAGTTTAACCAAAATGATAAATTAACTGTTCGTGGAACTGACTGGGCCCCATAGGCAAAGCTGTAGCTGTGAGATTAGCTGGACTAATGGTTTTTTGCTCAGGGTTCAGCCTTAGCGATAAAAACCGGATCTAACTGCTTGGCACACCCAACACATTCCAGGAAAGCATATCCCAAGAAAGCATATTCAACTGAAGCCTAAAAGGGGTTGGGATTTAGGCGGAGCGATGTCAATTTCAAACCTAAAGGTGCTGCATCGTAATTTGCTTATTGGATAAACCCGAGTCTGGGTAGTAACCTTTTATGATAGTTTTAACACCTTTCAATCCCATAGGGTAACAGCTATAGGGCAACATTGTGAGTGGCCCTGAGGCCAACAGATTAACATAAGACTAGGTATAAAAAGCATGTGCATCAGGTGACCAGCAGGAAGGAGGGAACAGAACGGTCATTTCTGTTCCACGCCTGGACCCCAGACTCCCAGTGTGAGTGAGGATTGGATCCTGATCAAGGGACCTTCCCTGGTAATCCCTCTGACAGCGTCGAACGGGGACGCCTGACTTCGCTGGAATCACTTGGTGCGCACCTGGCATTGAGGGACTATCGATAAGTTGCCAACCCATGTCTGTCTATTTGTTGTTTTGAACAGCCCAATGTGGCTAATACCCTTGCAGTGCACAGTTGGCCTGCAACAGATTGATCTATCTATCTGTTATTATCTGCTGTTATTATTTACTATTCGCTCTTTTATACTGCATTATCTGCTTATTGCATTTATCTTTCTGTTAACTGTTGTGTGTGTGTAAGCTATAATAAATTTGTCTTTATTTCACTCCCAACTTTGCCTCCTCGATGCGAAACTGAATCAAACAGCCCAGTTGGCCTGTGATAAAATTGATACACTCACAGTGCCCAGCTGGCCCGTGACAAGTCTTTAGTACTTTTTAAGCTTATCTCCACAACCATTAAAAAAATGAAAGCTAACATTTTGGTGTATTCACTTAACTCCAAGATCCTGGACTTTAATGAAAACATGAAATATTGTGAGACTTGAAATAAAAGTATAAGGTTAGCCACATTGTGCAGAAACACTGCTCCACAGCAGATGCTTTGAAAATAACCCAAAATGTATGCTTCTCTTGAATAATCTTCAACAGATTCTTCTAGGAACTAACAGGTCATTGAGACGTTATACAGGATATTTAATAGGGTCCCTATTTAGATTAAGTTGACATGTAGTAGTGCTGGCTAGCATGACATACTAACATTGATGGCCTTGCTGGAACTGGAAGCCATCTAGTTATATAACAATAACAATAGCAATGCTATTACTTATTACATGGAAAGGACTTCGTTGTTGAACCTGCATCAAGATCAAGGTGTGCCCCATAGCAAAAAAAATGGCAGGTCATGAGGGATGGCAGCGTACATTAGAAACTGGTTGTTGTGCAGGAAGCAGGGAACTAGACATTTAAGAGCATCATAAGGGTCACAGATAAATTGGAGAAGGCAGGGGAAGTAGGTAGTGATAGCCTTTAGTGAAGCCTTACAGATCCCCAGAGGAGCTTAGGAAAGAGGAATAGAGTAGAACTGCCCTAGAAACAAAGTCTGTGCAAGAGAGAAAAATGTATACAGTATGTTTTGACTGAGCAAGGACAGAAAAGGTCAGAGGAGACTGGCAGGAGATGGGGGAGGGGGGGAATTGGAAAAGACTGAAGCTAGGCACAAAATTATCCATAGGAAAACCAGGAGAAAGAAAATGGTTCAGAGTTATAATGAGAGATTCAAGTTGAAAAAAGGGAAATGAAAAAGCAATAGATATAACTTACAGAGTTACATATCCTTGACTCATATGTTAGAAAAAAAGTGTGAGTTATGGTGAAAATTATTAACAGTACAATATGGTCCATTTGTCTTTAAAAGGTAAGTATGCATGCATGGCATTTCAGAGGTGGGAAAAAGGAGGTGGTTCCTGCTTCCCTTCATGCAACTGAAAGGGGCCTTGTCCCACATCAGGATACCAATAAGGGTATTTACTAGGTTTCTTTCGTAATATCAGGGCATCAGAAATAGGAGATAGATAAGCTGCAGGAAAAGAAACCACTAAAGAAAAAGTTACTCAGCAGATTGCATCTTTTTAAAAAAATAACAAAAAACATCCATTAGTATGGCCACTACTTGTTTTTTCTTTTTCTCTCTTTTTTTATTCTGTCTTTTAAAACAGAAAATAAAGGCAAATCCCCTTTAATTACATGTTGTTTCCATGATTTGCATTTTCTTGAGAGAAGTGGATATCAGAAAAGCAGGCAGACTCCTTCCATTGAGTGTGGATTATGTGAGGAGGCATAGAAGGTGGGGGAGAGAGGGCATATGCATCTTCATTACCTAAACTACTCTGTTGCTATACATCACTTGGCAAACACCTGCCAAGCCTACTTCAACAGGTCAGTTGAGAAGAGGTGTTAAATAGGTTTACCTTAAATAGGTTTGCCTTTCACAAAGGACATCAGAGTTGAGAAGAGAAACAGTTGGAGGACGCAGACAGGCTTTGTTCAGATGCATAGGACTATTTATCCCAAATTGCTTATTTACTTGAGGATGTGATTTGCCAGATTATTATTGAAATATTTTTTAAATGTAAGTGCCTGATGGTTGCTCCTTTCCTGGGATAGTCTTGGAAGATGTTCCCGCAGGTCTGATACCCATGGTCAAAAAAGAACCAGTCCAGAGTGAGGAAGAAAAGAACCAGTGTGAGACCTAAAGCTAATGGAGTTTGGTTAAGAATTACCTGGAAAATGATACTGAATGTTAGGCCTCATTTTGCCTAATTTCAATCCAGGGAAGTGGTTTGAGACTAACAACACATTTCAAAAAGGTTACAAAGCAGCCATTGCAGAACTCTTGACAGCCCTTGCCAGCCTCAGCCACATTCAGACCAGTGACAGGCAAAAGGCTGAAAGTCCTATTGTAAGAATGATAAAGTAGAGGATTGGATGGTAGATGGAAGAGTTTCATGGATGTGACTATCTGTAATTCCACAAACCTATTTATACTTCTCACAAACAGCATTGCCAAGTGCAGAAATTAATATTAATAGATTCTGCCATTACTATCATTGTTGACAGGAGTTTGTGAACTCAAGCAAATTTCTCTACATACACAAGTTGACAGAAATAGGGAATGCCATTGACAAGGAAAATTACTACAGCTGGAAAGTGAAGATTCTGCCAGAAAAATGGAATGAGAAGAGAACATTACTGTAACTTAATCCATGGAT